AATATTTAGGTCTTGATTTATTTAATTTTAAACAATGTGCACAAAGTCGCACAGGCATAAGGCTGTAATCGAATAATGATAACAAGCCAAACCAAAAGGGAAAAATTTTGAAAAATGTCCACCCGCGAGCAAGCATTGTTTTGAAAACATATTCTAAAATAAAAAATATCATGTGACGTGAGTTATTGCATGAGAGTTTCCGTGCTATCCAGGGGTAGTGCATACATGAATGGAATGTGTACGTTGCCATTATCAATATTTTGCTCTCTGTTCAAAACACCACTGACGGGAAACAAATGGGGACAGCCATTAGTCGCGACTTACCTAATAAACCTCAGCCATGTTGTCGTAAGCAGAGGGCACTGTCGAAACATCAACCATCATGCAAACCTCCAAACAATCCTTCAGACGTCTAAAGGCTGTTCCGCCCGGCGTAGTGAAGTATGTCACTGCCTGACAATCAGCGCTTTCGGGACATATGTATGCTGTGTGCTCATTCTTGCTTACCACTAAAACCAAAAGACTAGACGTAAAACGAAAACACTAAAAGCAGCAGCATGTTCGAACAAAGCGGAAAATAGCATCAAATTAAACATATATATGACAGATGAGCGCTTAACGATCAGTTTACAAAACATGCTCGATCTGTTGTGCCTTGGGGCAGTCGCACCTTATCTGCATACATCACTAGTCGCTGTGCGACTGCCTGCGAGGGTTTAAGTATGAGCCCCAAGGCACAACAGAACGAACATGTCCTGTAACCTGATCGGTGAGCGCCCATCTGTCATAATTGATATTCCCGATCACAACCGACAGGACAACGGGCCCGTGGCTCAATAGTAGAGCGTCAAACTCAATGACCAAAGATCATGGGTTCGGATCTCAAGTGATCCACACTCGGGGTTGGGTATGACTGGCTGATGGCGCAAATAAGCCGGAAATGGTCATTCCGGTCTCCTTTGTCTTTGTTGGTATCCCCTTGTCTGCATATATACATGTATATCAGCACGCAGGGATGGCAGAGAATACGGGTATTTCAGGTGCTGTTTCGGGCTCATTCTGCCTTAATTTGGCCAATCATAACCTTGACCAGCAGCTGGGACCAGAAGTACAAACATGCGTACAGACGCACACTGCGCAGTTGGTGCACCACTGGAGTCTACCAGATGAGTCATAAGCACTACATCGAAATGAAGGTCATCGTTGCCTTACCATTTGTCACTGTCTGTCGCAGCACCTCGGGTACTTATTCAATCAGGAGTGGGCGCACACCGATCTATTGGCTTCATAAAGCAAACACGCTCCGTATGGGTGGCAATGTTCACGAACAGTCAACCTGGTAACTTGTTGTTAAGCCGTTTTCTATACTTATATCAGACATGGGCTGGATTTGTCTATGCATACAATATAAATCCCTGAGTTACGAAACGGAAAATGCCGCACATTTGAAAGAGTTATATATGGCATCGTCTATTCGTTCATCAAGTATTTACGTTTACTTTGCGAAAACGAGTGTTGACTTTATTAAAAATATTCGTTTTTCTAAATAGTTTCCAATTTATTTAGTATCATCCATTAATAATCCGGAGCTGCGTTTTAAATTTTTTCAAGTCACCAAAAGTGTAGTTAGTAAATAAACGGTGCCGCCTAGCTCTAACACAGTAGTGAAGAACATACGTGTACGCTGGTTAGATTGCAGGGTAAAATACTGCTGTTTTTAATGCGGGAAATCTGGTACCATTGCTACCATTTGCACTGCCAAGTCTGTTTTCTAGAAGATGAGTATGCGATGGCAAATCAATTCTTGCGTGCTGGTTTAACGCTGCGGAGAAGAAGGGGAGTAAGTGATAGGGTAGTTTTGTAGGTGGATTTCTTGGCATGTTTTGGCTTACGTAAACACCGCAAACGTGCGACGTCGTGGTCGTGCTTAGTCGCGGGCTTGTGTGAATAAACGTGGAATGTGTAGGCTTACGCGTGGTCTCTACCATGTTGACTGCTTTGTGAAGAAGGCAGCTATAATTCTTCTCACGTCCTAGATCGCATCGACGTGGCAATCTTGGGTCCTCAGGAGCTAAGGAGTTGCCGATGGTTTTTTCCATTTCGCCATCAATTCCGTTTTTCCCATTTTGCCAGCTGAGAAACGCGCGAAATGACTATTCAAGAAAACAACGTCTGGGAACAAAACAATCAGCAACTTCTTAGCTCCTGAGGATCCAAGATTGCTGCGTCGAGGCGAGCTAGGGCGTGAGAAGAATTATAGCTGCCTTCTTCACAAAACAGTCAACATGGTAGAGACCACGCGTAAGCCTACACATTCCACGTTTATTCACACAAGCCCGCGACTAAGCACGACCACGACGTCTTACGTTTGCGGTGTTTACGTAAGCTAAAACATGCCAAGAAATTCACCTACCAAACTACCCTCTCACTCACGCATCTTTCCCTCTGTGGCGTTAGAACAGGAAGCCAGAGGCAATTTGATTTAGCATACACATCTTCTAGAAAACAGACTTGGCAGTGCAAAAGGGAGCGATGATACTAGATGTCCCGCATTTCAAACGGCAGTAGTTTACCCCAAAATCTAGCCAGTATACACGTATGTTCTTCACTACTGTGTTAGAGCTAGGCGCCCCCGTTTATTTGCTTACTACAATTTTAGGTGACCGGAAAAAATGAAACGCAGCTCCGGATTAACAATGGACGGTTGTAAATGAAATGAAAATACTCACACATTAGAAAAAGAACTACTCTTTAATAAAAGTGACTTTCGTTTTCTCTATGTAAACGTAATCTCTTGATGAATAAATAGCTAATTAAATATATACCTCTTTCAAATGTTAGATATTTTAGCAGAATTTGAACGATTCATATTGACTTAACTGTGAAATGCTCGGCGTGAATTCTCACAATCATTTGTGAAGGGAAGAAGTTTATGGAATAGCCATTTAGAAATCCTGTAATATGGTGAACCGATTAATGATACTATCGGTCGCAATGGTACGTCGGGTTTGTGGACTTTCGGTAGTCCGTAGATTTTGGCGATTTTTGGGCATGTTTGAATTTTGACTGTTTCTTTACACCTACTACAGGTCTAAGGACGAACTAGGGAAACAGACACGAAAATTTACGAAATAAAAGTTGTTCGTTCCCCCAAAGGATTCATTCGTCTTCGAATTATGTTTCTTGGAATGCACATCTTCCAATATATATATATATATATATCAATCAGGAATGGGCGCACACCGATCTATTGGCTTCACAAAGCAAACAAGCTCCGTATGTGTGGCAAAGGTCACGAACAGGCAACCAATTACCAGGCCGAAGTCGGCCAAGTCATAATAACAGCGAGGAGCGACAGGTGGCGAGGCACTGATGAACTTCGGTTCGATGAAGTGCTTATGACCCATCTGGTAGGCCTCAGTGGTGGACCGACTGCGCCAGGTGCGTCTGTGCGCATGTTTGTGTTTCTGGTCTCAGCTGCTGGTGGTCAGGGTTATGATTGGCTGAATGAAGGCAGAATAAGCCCGAAACAGTGCTGTATCAATCTACCCGCATTCTCTGTCGTCGCTCCTCGCTGCTATATATATATATATATATATATATTAAAACAACAAAGATAAAAATATCCCGGCTCACGTTTTTCCCAGCCATTGCATACGGAAACACACTTCCTGTAGTCAGAAAATGTTCCCTCCCTCTTATTAATCTGAAGACATTTCTTGCGAACATCTCTGCACACTTGGAAGGACGTGTCAGCGCTGTTTTCCACTAAAATAAAAAAGAAATCATGGCGTCAGGCATGCAGTTAAATTCTTCCCAAAAAGCATCAAATGATGTCAGTCAGCATAGAGTAACAGTCGAGGCTATAAGGGTACGACATTGCACGAATTCGTGAAGATCGGCAGGGAGACCTACCCCTTTCGACCAGCTGGCACCCCTGAACGCACATCACATGTCTGTCGTAGTTTTTGCCGTAGCCCTTTCGTCCAAATACGTCGTACGCAGTGCACGGCTTGTCGGACCCTTCACAAAAGTAGGCTGTCGTTTTTTCGGTTAGGTCACCTGGAGGAAAAATAGTGCTTGAGGTTTATGCCGTATGTTTTGCCAGGCGGAGAGCAGCAGATTAACAAAACGTTCGTAGGCCCATGCATTTTAATGAAATGCTGACCTTGTTGTTCAGCACACCCCTTGCGACAGCTTGAGCCCTTGCTTGCATCTCCAGAGCTGTAGAGCACAGATGTGCAGTCTGTATGTTCGCCTCTGCATATTTCGTAGGTCGATTTTTCTTGTGTGTTTGCTGGAGAACAATTGATGAAGCAGTTGGGTAAGTGCTTGCGAGTTTTACTACCTGAAGCTATATATTTTTTACAACTTAACGACCGAATGCCTGATGCTATGAATTATGTACGAAGATCGAACCATGAGGAGATGACGGTCAGGGTGAAAAAAATGCTCGGTGCCTGACCGGCGAATAAAAGCCCATTGTCCTTGTTCAACTGCACTGTTCCAGCTCTTACTTAATGGCGCTTTGCTTCACGTTTATATATATATATATATATATATTATGATAGTGGGCGCTCACCTGATTTATATATATATGGCATCGCCTCTTTTTCTTCTTCGTCTTCCTTTGGGGATGATGAACGGGATAATCTATCTGGATCTCGAATCTTCACTCATGTTGATATATATATATATATATATATATATATGTGTGGAAGTTAGATGGGCGCTCATCGATCAGGTTACTGAGCGTGCTCATAGAATACCGCTCACGACTCACGTTATGGGACTCACTCGTTTCGTTGTGCCTTAGGGGTCTCTCTCTATCCCAACCAACACCGAAAAAGGCAACCTACGTTGCTCGATCGCTCGACCAGTTGGTTATGACTTGCTGACCACGGCTTATAAACCAGAAGTGGCCATTTTAGTCTCCGTTTTCTTTGTCGTCATTGTCATCCTGCTTATAGTAGTCGCCTATGGGCGGCTGCCCGTGGGGCCCAAGAGAGAAACTACAGATGAACGGTTTTCACAACGCGAACTTTGAGCGCTTACATATATAAAAACCTTCTCCATCTCTCATTATATCAACCAGCAATGCATACTACCTCTGATCTACATATATATCCACCTTTAGTTACCGATCTCATGAAATATTAGCCAAAATTCAAAAATGCATTTTGATTAGGGAGGATTATCCAGGTAAGCGGTATTAATATTTATCAAGGGACTTAATTTCAAAAAATTTCTGAGTCGTCGCGATATTGATGTTGAATTCACTTTTCGTGACCTCTCGTAAACTCCACATTCAACAAAACGAATACGTAAGTTGCAGGGATCTTCCACATTGCTTTCACAGAACAGGAGCAAAAAGATGCCTTCATTTATTCATGTGTTATGCCAGCCAGCAACCGCACAGCGTTGTTTATTACAGGCACAATAAAAAAGTTTTCCAATTCCCGAATAATTTTGAAGCCGCTCTACCGTCACACTTAGGTTCAGGGTTTCCGCTCTACAAGGCATATATTTTCCGCGTACGGAAAACCATACATTTCTTTACGGTACTCAAAGGGGACCATAGAGTGGTGATAAAATTAAGCGACGGATTTGATCCTTATTGTTAACTTTACAATCCACATTGGTAAATGCAATGGTATTACAATTTATGAACGACCCTTTCACGGGATTTAACAGTCCCAAAAGTAGAAACTTTTAAAACCGGATTATGTCCCTCCTTCGAGTAAAAAATTACAAGAACACGTAATGTTCTGTCAAATGAGCAAAACAAATGAATGTGAATTTATGCTATTTAAGTAGTCATTTTTTGCGTAGTCTAGTTTTTGCATGCAACTGGAAGGAAGTTCATTCGCAAGCCAGCATTCCGAGGCAACCGAAATATTAAAGAATTTTGTTGCAGGTTGACTAGTTTTACGACCCTACTCAATCAATCTTCTCAAAACGAAAACGCATTTCGGAATTTCGGTTGACATTTCACGAGTTAGCCCGCCTACTGTATGTTGTCAATATTGCAAATAATCACACCATTGTATGCTGCAGCCTGCCTGTTGGCAATGTATGAAGTTATGCCGCAGCAGTCGATGAATTTCAGCTGAAATATTCATATGAACTTGCGGACTAAGCCCATAAAATTCTGTTTTGGAGGATTTACTTCAATATCATTGACAACTAAACAAGTCAATGCACACTCCTGTCATCATGGTCTTAAGCTAGCGTGCAATAATCATTGGGGTCAAATGCATACACGGAAGGCAGAGAGTCAGTAAGCTGAGGATGAATTGCCTAAAACATGTATTCACTATTTTAACACATTGATGAAATTTATTTTGTCCTCATTGATTCCCCGGAAAACACACGTCCGATATAACTACAGGCGGACATCAGGGAACTGCTTGACCTAGCTTTAATCATTGTTTTCTTATGCCGACCTCTAGTTACTGCGCATGCCTGTATAGAATACATTCCAAACATCACCTGTCATGCAAGTCTCCAAACAATCTTTTAGACGACGAAAGGCTGTTCCTCCCGGCGTGGTGAAGTATGTCACATTTTGACAGTCGCCGCCTTCGGAACAGATGTATGCTGTGTGTTCATTCTTGCTTGCCACTAAAATAAAAAGCAGGCCATGAGAGCGCGATGACTAAAAGAGCAAATGCATTAAACACAATGGCAGACAACAACAATGTAGGCAGTTATGTTGTGACTTACGTGTCGTCCAACCATTGCACTTAGAAGTGCAGCTTCTGTAGGCATCGAATGTTCCCTCCCTCCTTTCAATCTGTAGGCACTTATTACGAACATCCCTGCACACTTGGAAGGACGTCGCGGGACTGTTTTCAACTAAAACCGAATTATGACTTCCATATCAGACACAGGAAGATGCTGTTCGCTAAAAGCAGATCCTCCTCAGATGATGACGGACAACATAGGGTTACATTTGAAATTATAACAGGACGGCATCGCATGAATGGATGAAAAACGGGGCAGTAGAACTTACTCCTTTCAACCAACTGGCACGCCTGAACACACATCACATGTCTGTCGTAGTTTTTGCTGTAGCCCTTTCGTCCAAAGACGTCGTACGCGGTGCAGGGCTTGTCGGACCCTTCACAGAAGTAGGCTGTCGTTTTCTGAGTTAGGTCTCCTGGAGAGAGAGAGAGAGAGAGGGAAAGAAATTAATGTCGGGCAAGCGTAAACAGAGAAGCGATCCGTTCGATGGTGAAATTGGAGTAGAGCATATTCGTTTGCCAATCAAGTGCATACCGCTTTGTTCTCTGCATTTCTCACGACAGTTTGAGCCCTTACTGGCGTCTTCCGCACCGTAGATCACTGAAGTGCATTCAATATTTTCACCTTTGCATATTTTGTACATAGGGGGTTCTTCTGTGCGAGCTGAAAGTAGAATTGCGATTAATCGAACTCATTCTTTTGTGCTTGGTAATGCTCGTGACATGTCATTGTAGTAAAACTATTGCAACTGCATGTCGGAATTTTTCATAAAACTGAATTGTGAAATTTTATTTAAAAAACAATTAATTTAAATAAGGGATTTAAAAAAGCAAAATAGCTGAGGTAATATTGTTTAAAGTTCTGTACGAAGATCAAACGTACCATAGATTGCTACCTGGATAATCAAAGCAATATGAAGCAGAGTCGGTGAATGAAGCCTCGTCATTGCTGCCCGAGTTAACTGTGCGAACGTTATTTTGATGATTGTGTACTGAAAACCTGCATATATATATATATGTATATTTGTCCTGCAGTTGTGCATTTTGCTGTTATCTAATTGGACAATATTACAAGTTGATTGACTGCCAAATGCATTACGCGTACACCCGCACTCTACAAATAGAAGAAATCAAAACAGGAAATGCTTCCCGGTGGTTTGCCAAAAAGCAAAACAATTCAATAAAGCAAACAGAAGGCAAGCGCAGTCTAAGTTCGATATCAGTCATCGCACATGTGCGCGTGCATCGGCTTAATTGGGCACCGCGAGCGAGTGCGGATACTGAAATCTAAATTTCAACAAACAGTTGAGATAAAAGCGGGTGCCGTGGTAACAGAATTGAAGTGTTAGTCATTAAAGTTAGTCATTTCGTATCGTCTGCATGCTTCTACAATACATCTTTATCATTACTAGTTGCTTTGTTAGTAGTTGACTCCGTATATACATTCAGGGTTTTTGAGACTCATCATGGGCTCCATCATCAGTAGTTTTATAAAGCGTCTGCCAGTTGGCGTATAAAAAGGAGACGAAGTGATTTTAAGAAGAGGTTTACTTTAGGGCTGAAGTTTCAAGCACTGGTTTCCCCAAAAATCGGACGGTGAAGTGCGGGGTAGACGCAAAAACTGGACTGTTCTGGTAAACGGATAGTCATATACATGCGTTAGAGTAGTTTTCGGGAAGAGCAGACTGTAGACTAGCCTTGTTAACATGTGGACTGTGTCAGTCCCTCACACTGACAATGGACGTTTGGTGAGTTAACTAGTGTTTCAATTCCGGCTGCTGGTCTGCCATGAATTGTTGCAATTCCTCTGTTGAAACCAGTCCCTTGAAGTTCACACTTTTGCTGTTGTTGAAAAGGGACGAAAGCTCAACCACACCACCGCGTGTTTTCTTCGCATCTACTCAAAACCTTGAAATAGAGCAAACGTAGAGTAATAGTTTAGCAGGACAATTGCGGATAACAAGAAAAATTTTAACAACTGACTTAAAGTAGGCGAGCTAACTCATGAAATATCAGCCATAATTTTTAAATGCGTTTTCGTTTCGAAAATATTAATTAGGGTTGGAGAACCAATCATTAAGCAGCATAATTTTATAATAATCACGTTATCTCCAGGATGCCGGCGTTCGAATAATCTTCTTTCCTACTGCATGCAAAAGCAATTCTCTATAAAAACGGCTACTTATATAGTAAGCATTTTTTATTAATTTTCGAAGCCCTTAAAAATTAAATTGTATTCCATGGAAAACATGCATATAAATATTCATTCTTTTACTCATACGTCTTCTTCCAGTTTAACGGCAAAAGAAGGTCATAATTTGGTTGGAAAAAAAGTATATAATTAAGGTATTTGTTAATACTGTTCATAAAACTTCATGTCTCTATTTTTACCAAAATGTCTCGTAACGTTAGCAACATATATCAAATCAACTGCTGAATTTTATGAACTCCGTAGAGAAACGTATGGTTTTCCGTACACAGAAAATATATGGTTTGTAGTTATGAAACCCTGAATGCGAGTTTGACGACAGGTCGGGTTCAACATTATTCGGGAATTGGAAAAGTTTTTTTTTGAAAACCGAAGCTTACCCTTCCATCGAATATAAAAATGGTAGAGGTTGTAGCTTTCTACTGAATTAGTTAAAGAGTGAATATTTTTATGAATGATTTTATGATATATAATCCAATTTTTAAGTGCGTCGAAAATTAATGAGAAACATTTATGCTAAAAATGTAGTCATTTTTACACAGTATAGCTTTCGCATGCAGCCGAAAAGAACTTCCTTCGAAAGCTAACATCCTGAATAACTGAATTATGTCAGAATTATGCTTGTTGGTGATTAGTTCGCCAACTCTACTAAATTAATCTTTTCGAAATGAAAACGCATTTCAAAATTTCGGTTAGCATTTCATGAGTTAACCCACATACTGCATATGGCCCCATAAACAGGACAGGTGAACAGGAACTGCCTCCTGTTAATGAAATGAGAGTGCGATTGAAGATCAGGTTTAAAAATAAATTTTAACTTAACGATATGGTTAGTCAGGCGTTAAAATAGGGGGTAGTGTTAGCCGTAGACTAAATGCTTAATTTCTGGTTAGTGTGAAGATTAGGCCAACGGTTCTATTTTATATTACCGTTAATGTTGGGGTTAGGGAAAAGGGAATATTTTGCCATTTCCAAAGTTGTGATCAGGCCCACGCTTATTTATTGAGCGGAGCGTTCCTATTTCCATCTTCTGTCTAGTTGGGGGCATATAAGGCAGTCCTACCTGAATGTTTTATTCGTCCGACGTTTCTGATTAATGCCCGGACCCACTATGAGCGGCAGCAACAAGGTTAAAATACATGGCCGTGGTCAGTAAAAGGTACCTTGTGAAACGTTTTTGGGCGCATTTCAGTAATAGTAGTTGCATAGGTTTGTCATCATAGAAGCGAACTGTAGCCGCCTAAAAAGAAAACTACAAGAATGAGGCCCCGTTTCCGGCAGAACGGTGTGAGTACAGTACCATCTTTGGTCTAGGCTGAACATCGCCTGTCTAAAGGAGGCACGGAAGACGTTTTGATCCCATATTGTTTGCGTAAAGGAGAGGCCAATGAATATTTATCGATGGTAGAGATCGCCATGAACGAACACAGTAATTTACCTGTTTAGAAGGCAAATATGCATGTCCTGTTATTGCGGCCTCTTCTAAAAACCGGCCAAAACACTATATGCATAATTTCCTTGTAGTGTTTAGTTTCATACGGTTGGTCGGAAAAGGTTGTGACAACAGTAGGATTAACGAACCCCATTAGCTGTCAGCATAGAGTAGATCATGTGCCGATATATGTACTGATGACCGGCGGTCGCAACCAAGAGTGGATAATCTGAGAGCGAGGAGCAATTGAGTATACATTCAGAAATAACAAAAACGTGTGCCGGATTCAGACACAGTTTTTCGATGCAAGTCGCTCTTTCAAGATAGAACGCCATAGAATCTTAACCTGGATACCATATCCGTATGCATTTATCATTTTAATCGCAAGCGTGTATTTCCCACTGGTCATCCTCCCTGTTTTCAGCATTCCTTCAGTTTACTGTGCGGCGATCTGCCCCATTCGTAAATCCCCCTTTACCACAATTACCGTATGACATAATCCACAGTAGAATTATATAACCGACAAAGACAAGGGAGGCTGGAATGGACATTTCTGGCTTATTAGCCGTCGTCAGCCAGTCATAATCGAAGTGTGGCACACCCGAGGCTCGAAGTCATGACCTGTTTTTTAGAAGCCCACGCCTCTAACCACTGAGCCACGAGCCCGTTGCCCTGTCGCTTTTTTGATCAGCAATATACAGTGGTAGTGGGCGCTCACAAAGCATTCTTACGGAACTCACTCGTTCCGTTGTGCCTTATGGACTCTCTCTTGAACCCAGCCAGCAGCCGCACAACGGCGCATGATATAGACAGAATGATAATGTGCCTATATCATGCGCCGCTGTGCGGCTGCTGGTTGGCCTCGACCCACCATAATCCACAGAATAACGACTGCTAGTAAGGGTCCTTCACTTAACCATTGCAGAGAAAGTAAGTAAATTTTGGGACCACCATCTGTTGGAGCCCTGTTATAACCGGTTTTCTCGTTGCTTTGGTTGAAAATCAGATCTAGATCCCTGTGGAAAGCGTTCTGATCCCTGTTCACCGCCTGCTTTTAAGTATTAGATGTTTCGTTCACTGTCTTTTATCGCAGATTTCTAGTTACCCTTTGCACCACGAGATGCTAGTGTCGGTAAGATAACGGGGACCTAATGTGTGTTTGGAGCGGCTATATGGACGTATTGAACGAAGGCATCTGCATAACTTTAAATCACTTTTATCACTCCATTCGCAGAATATTGTCGACCAAAAGAGCATTTAAAGACACCAAGTATGCCATAACGTAATGCATACTACGCACTTATTTCTTATATCTGCTCTTTTGCTCAAAAATATATACTTCTATGAAAAAAAATCTGTAGAGCAGAAACTGCAAGCTTCTATTGACCTTCTGAGGCGTACATCCATATCGTGCCTTACCAGTATCATTGGAGCTTGAAAAGGTGACTTTTTAGGAAGCCAACAAGGCTTAAACATGTGTCTAAAAACCTAAACGTCCGAATGTCACGGGGCAGTTAGGCGTTCTTTTTGCACCAGTGTTGTTAAGCATGCGCATATTGCTACACTGAGTCACTCGCAGACGGAACTTCTGCCTTGGATTGCACGACCTCTTTCACACAAGTTCTACTCACGGAGATATAGTTAACAAAGAAGAAGACGTGCGACGACAACTGCTCTCGCCCCATTTTCAGTCCATTTACTTCGAGATTTTAACCTGTCGAGCGAGCTTTTGGATTTAGCAGATGCGGTGCAGGGGTTAGGTCCCTGAGGCCTATTATTACCCGACGAAGTATTTGAACGAGGCACTAGGCAAGAGACGGAGGAAGTCGGAGGACGACTGACGGGGAGGTACTTCATTTTCAGTGTCAGCATGTTCTCTAGTTCTGATTTTTTGTCAACTTTGAGGCTTGAAACAGCAAAACTTTTGTGCCTGTATGAAAGCATGTGTTTTTTTAACATGCTAAATTGAACAGGAGATGATTTGGCATGGAGGTGAGAAATATAATCAATGAATGGCGATCAGAAAGCGTTCGAGAGTAGTTGTCAATAACATTTAAACATTTTTTCCCCCAACACAATATTTTTAACAAGTAAATGGCAGGGTTCATGTAGAAAATTCGATGTAATTCTTGGGCAGTAGCCCGAGATGATATAGCACCGCCCAGCAAGTGTGCCTTTAAATGGCTTAAAATTCCATCAATAACAAGCTGATAACCCGTTGTGTACACATCTCCCCGTACATAAGCATGCATGCCTGTCCCGGTTCCCTTATCATCATTCCGCTTCAAAAATGGTCATCTCGATTGTTTGGATCATCTGAAGCAGCAAAATTGCCGTCTTCAAATCCAGTGATCTGTTCCTTGAACGCACCGCTACTGGACTAATAATCTTCATCGTGCGCAGGGACGCGGTATGCAAAGTCGATTACAGTTCAGGGTGGGACTCAGTGGGCGGTGACCATAAAAAATGACCGACTGCGGGAAAACAGCGTAAGTCCAACATTTGGGCCATGCCCTTCTTTTTTCTATTTTCGCTGTTCCACATACACGGCGGTCTGTACGTCAACATGCGCGTCTAAACGGCAGCACGCGAACGCTTGCCATGATTGACATGGGCTTGAGCAAACAAAGAAAGCAGGATTTTATTGTCTTTACGGCAGGTCGACGACATAAGTTCCACCACTGTCATAAAGTTGTGTTTCAGAACGTTGCCCGCCCATACCGGCAGTTTTTTGTGTATAGTAACAAACAAAACTTACTGGTGACGCTTCGGATATTGCTCTTTCCGTCAGCGCCAGTAATTACCGTTGAATATTCGAAGAACGCATAGAATGTCTACTAGCTGCTGACAAATATGTGCTTACCCGGTAGTCTTCTGTATCTGGTGAAGAGATATGGGATGTTTGCAATAAAAATTGAAAATTTGAAGATATGCAGATGGCATTCGACGAAATTTAAGAGAAGTTATGCTTGTTGATCCAGGTTCGGCCTTACGATTTACTGTACAAGCTGTGTGTCAGTAAGGGGCTTTTTTACAGGGTGGCCTAACAATTGAACTGAGGACGAATTGTAAGAATCCACGTTGGAAGAAAATCAAATACTTAGTGATATTTGTGATTTTCGAATGAGATAATACTTTTTCCGGAACTTGGCTGCTTTCCGGCCCTCTACACTCACTTTTTCCGCTGCCAAAATTGACAGCTAGCATATGGTACTTTTAGTAATATATCAGCATACTTCCGTGACAGGTCCAACCACGGCTTCCTTTTCTAACACCTGCTACTGCGCGAAATTAAACGCATCTGGTGCAGTTCACAAAAACAATATAACATAAATAATCCCGACACCTCCACATAGGAGTTCCTCATACTCATAGACAGACTTATCAATATTTCCAATAACTTGATTCAGCCAAGCAGTGTTACTTTAATTACCGAAACATAATTCTCAATTCCATAAATTTCAGAATGCATAAATCTCCATTAGAAAAAAATTGTTGGAATGTTTGAATTAAGATAACGATTACATAAATGAACGCCGTTTATCTGGATACCACTAAGTTTAAATTTCAGCAAGTAAAAATATGTGTGGCCTAGGCCATTAGGCAGATTTCATATGCGTTCCCTCGGTTTGGTGAATAGCGAGAATATAGTCAGAAAAGGACTATATTTTGAGATATATATGAAACAATTTCAAAGATCCTGGCCAATTAAAAGCGGAGAATGGATTACAAATTTCATAAGAGAACAACGTAGCTGGTCGTGGTATTGAGCCTTCGCTAATTTTGGTTAGGGGGAGAGACTTCCACATCCCGCAACAAATTTAATGTTGTTGTGCCTTCGATAATAGCACCTCTTGCATTCAACTAGTAACGGTTGGATTCATACCGATCTCTTGGTTTCCAGAAAAAAGCCTGCCTTGGAGACAGACAACACAACTATCAGGTCGAAATCGGAGAAGTTTAAATAGCTAATTGCGTAACAGTGGGATTTAAGCCCTATTGTGGGCAAAATGGTTAGTTTCATTCTGATGAATTCGGCGAATTTTATACACAGGTAAATAATTACCTTTTCAGGTTGTTAGAGTCATCGCCCAAAACAACCATAAGCACTCATAAATTTGCGAAAAGCGGTTCATCCATTCAGCTGCGGCCATCGACTTTTCAGTATGCATGCAAAAGTCATCATTTTAAATACGCGCAGAGGTCGACATGCAAAATGCATGTCTACCCTTTGTCTCACTGTGGATGCAAAGAAAGCCCCACTTCGTCATGTGGATTGTCGAAGGCAATGTGAACTGTATCCCCTTAACGCAAAAAATTCACCTTTTTTAAGTGCTACATACAGACGTTCCGCCATTTTTAGGTACCCAATCGACAAATCACAAATTGGAAAATGTATGTTTTCCCCTTTTGTCGAAGGGATCTTTATGTGTACAACACGGCTTACCTTTGAAGCAACTAGACAGACTTTTTCTGCAAACAATGCTTCGAGCAGGAATGTCCATGGTACTTGGGAAGATAACACGACACATCAGAAATCTGTAAACAGTTCACACATTTCAGAATATTCAACAGTAAAGGACAATGTCTTAGGTCATCTTTTTTTAAAATGATTTACATGGAATACTAGTCCAACTAAACGTGTTACTAAAATCAAATCGGTAGCCTGCATTTTATCAAACTATTATTTCAAAAATGTGAGCCCGCGACTCCTCAACTCTCAGATGTGGAAAATAATGTAAATTATGCAATAAGAGTCAGTGGCACAAGCAGTGTGTTTGTGCAAAGTGTCCGCTTTTTAGTCGGGGGAGTCACGCCTAGATTCTGTGTCGGAATTACGAGCGAATAAATGCTCTGTATACGTTTAATGTCGAACGGAACGGCGGTTGTCCTTTTGGGCGCGCCGACGCATTTAGAGGGGAGCTTCGGAGATGACAAAGTGGCGATTCAGATGTCTTTTTGTTTGATTATATTTCGCAGATTCCTTCTGTTCAGGCGGTATTTATGGTCATCTCCATTTGTTTTCCCCGTTTTTAGCCACAGCTGAGCACATTTCCCACGGCCAGTAGGCGATGAAGTCGTCATTGCAATGTCCGTTCATCGCTCACAATAATTTAATGTTATCTGCAAAGAGCACACATTAGCTGTTCAGCCCACCAAAGTAGTCTATGACAAAAAATAAAAAACACTGGCATTCCGAGCACATAGCACTGCGCGTCACCACTTACAACCGGCCCGGCACTGATTTCGCATTGCTAATGCGCATCGACTATGATTAGCCACTCAATAAGTCCTCTACATACTATGGTAGTCTCCTCTAACTCCACAGTATTGGACCTTTTAGAGTTATCGCCAGTCTGGAACACTCCCGAGAGCTTTCTTCAAGTTCATGTATAGAAAATCAATCAGTGTGTCTTCATCGAACGAGGTAGACCACTGCCCCATTAAATGAAACCGAACACGAGTGGTTTCGTCGACAGTCATGTTGATCGTTGTGCATGGAATGCTTATCTTCGAGGAACTGTATGGTACCATTTTTGACGATCCTTTCCAACGGGTAAACCCTGAACTCACGGATCGTTATTTGTTATAATTTGTTCGCGTCCATCTTTGTGAATCGGGTTTATGTTTGCCATCTTCCAGACAGGACTAAGAACGTCTCGATCAGGGGACAAATAAAAAATATGTTAAAATGGTATGGGAAAATCACAGGAAAACTTTAAGCCAGTATTTGGTCTGGACAAACAGCTTACATTCCTTAAGCGCAAGAAGTACCCTCCTCACATGTATCTTCTGTGTGATAAATGGTTTCTATTAGTGGGTCGTTTGTTCCACTAGGGAAGTAAGCCTGATAATTAATGCGAAGAAAATATCTTACGTGTTTTATGCAGCCGGTCAATGCTTGGAATTCTCCACGCCCTCCTCTCATGTGCTTCCACATTCGGCCCCTTGTTGAAATCCCCCTTCCCCCTTTTTTGACCCTTTTTTGAGCCTGATCGACGTTCTTTTAATTAACTAATTTTGTATTCTGACCTTGAGCTGGGAATTCGATTTGTTCGAACAGTGACAAAGGATTTTTTTGTCTAGGGTATCCATTGTTGATGTTTGTGCGTTTTTCAATATAACCTATTCTATCAATAGTACCGTATATACACCGAAATCCTTTTTTGGCTTATACGCGTCACTCGTCTGGCAAGGAAATCTACATTACGCGTTCCGCCTTATCATCAATTTCGGCGACGTACCAAAAGTTTCCTCCTTTCAGCACTGCAGCGGTCTTTTTTACTTAACCTGCTGTTAATGCAACTGAAGAGTACTATTGGTGTATCAACGGCTTTTTCCGTTATTCGTATTTGAAACTGCTTTCCCCATCTACGGGTACCTGACCTTGTCCTACTCCGCGTTCGGTAAGGTGTTTGTGATGCCTAGGTTGTTCTGCGGCTGAATACCTTCTCTGACGTTTTCCATATTTATACCTAGCGTCGGTCAGACAGAACGACTAGTCCTTTGGACTACTGTTGTTTGTCAATTTTGATGTAGAGCACTGCTTATACGCTGGTAGGGGTAGAAGGGAGACTGGTTGTCTTCCTTGTCTTTGTCGGTAACACCATACTGCTTACACATTCTGTAAGAATATTTCAATGGACATCCAAATGTCCAGTGCGAACGTCCTGCTAGTTTGACAACGATAATTCACGTCAAATCCAGACAATAGCTCCTCGCCGGCCGAACCCCAGTCGTCTCCAGTATAAACGGTATTCTCAAAATAGCTTGACGCGGTCATTCTTCCCAAGCGGTTTTGGTGACCGAAGCCGGTCGCCATTACGCAGGTCTTTCATAAGGACGAAGCCCAAACAAGTTGCCCATTGAACCTCCCTGATGCTAATTGTATACCTGACATTTTGCATTCTGCATGCCTGTTTGTAAAGCCCTGGAATCCACTGCCTTACATGAACCGTTGAGAGCTGAATTGTTCCAATCGTTTATGACCTCGTTTAAATCTCCGGCTATCAGTTAATCTTTGTCTTGGGCCACCTGCTTAGGAACCTGACGGCTCGACAGTCATGATGTCCACTGTAGGCTCTACCACACGGTGAGAGTAGGCACGGGGACTTACGCGACATCTCCTGCACTCTCTCCTCCCCACTTGGGCACGGTGTCAAGACAGAGTCCAGAAGACCGGACATAAGGAGTGCGCAGGTGGATGGCTTGGACGGATCTGCACCTAGGCGTGACAACACACTCCCTTGCCCACACTTCCGAGGACGCCTCGGAAGTGCTCGGCCCATCGCTGCAGGATTTGCGTCTTCTCAGTCAGGAGAGTGCTGCCGTCGGCGCTGAGGAGAGGAGCAGTGCCCTTCGTCGGCGGACCGTAGACAGCTTTGATAGGGGAGAAGAAGTTCTTCCAATCGTTGCGGTCCGCGTAGCCTTGGATCTCCTCAGCTTTGCGAGCAGTCCAGGCGTCCTGCATCTCGCGCAGTCGTTGCTGAAGCTGTCGGCGACTGCGGTAGAAGGCAGCTTTGTTGCCCTCAGTTGGGTGCTCTACGTAGGCTTTGTGTAGGCGGTTCTTCTCGGCAAGCAGATATCTGATGGCAGCGTCGTTGTCGTCGAACCAGTCCTGGTGTTGGCGGGGAGCGCGACCGAGGACGGCGAGCGCCGTCGACTGGACTGTGTCACGCAGTTGACACCAGCGGTTCTCCACGGAGGCGGTCTCGGCAGCGGCGGCGGCGTCGTGGGCGGCAGCAGCGATAGGAAGGTTGTCTAGCCGTTGAGCTAGCTCATTGCTGAAATGGAGACGGTGAGCAGGCAAAGACAACAAGGCAGCATTCAGCTTACCTGGGGGTCGCTTACCTTGTGGTCTCCTGCGAGGCTGTAGGCGAATACGCATCTTCGAGATGACGAGGCGATGGTCGGTCCACCCGTCAGCACCCGCGATCGCCTTCGTCACCAGCACGTCCCGCTGATCTCGCCTCCGGACGAGGACATAGTCCAGCAGGTGCCACTGACGCGACCGAGGATGCCTCCAGGTGGCCTTCTCTCGCACCTTCAGACAGAAGAAGGTATTCGTCAGGGTGAGGCGGTGTTCTGCGCAGGTGCGGAGGAGAAGCAGGCCGTTGTCGTTGGAGCCGCGGAGACCGTGGGGACCCAGCACTCCCCTCCAGGCAGTATGGTCTGCGCCGACGCGGGCGTTGAAGTCACCAAGGACAATCAACTTGTCCGCCTTCGACACAGTCGCCAAGAGGGCGTGCAGGTCCTCGTAGAATTTGTCTCTGACGGCGTCGGCGTTGGTCATCGTCGGAGCGTAGGCGCTGATGATGGTGGCGAATTTGCCTCCCCAGAGAGGCAGGCGGAGGCTCATCAGGCGATCGTTGATGCCCTGCGGCAAACAGGGCAGTCGTCTCACGATGTCGGTCCGGATGGCGAAAGCGACGCCCGCGTCTCGTCGCTCTGCCCTGGGTCGGCCACTCCAGAAGAAGGTATAACCGACACCCACCTCCTCCAGTTGGCCTTGTTCGGAGAATCGGGTCTCGCTGAGTGCGGCGATGTCCACCTTGTAGCGCGCCAGTTCTCGTGCCACAGGCGCCGTCCTCCGTTCCGGTCGGTTGCTCCTCGGATTGTCTAAAAGGGAACGAACATTCCAGGCTGCCAGAGTGAGCGGGCTCACCCTGTCAGTCTGGGGAAAACGAGTGGGGCGATGGGAAGGAGGTGGAGAAGAAGATGACGAAGGAGAAGAATAGGCAGACGAATAGACGGAGGTAGAGGTAAAAGAGGTAGGATGAGGAGAATGAGTATGGTTGTTGTTGTTGTTTCGAGTTTGATTGTTTCGACCGTGAGTTTTGCGTCTGCGACCACGGTGCGCCAGCAGACGACGTGGTTCCCCAGCAATTTTTAGGCCAGCTTTTCCAGGCCCCCCCGAAGGAAGCAGTGCCCTGACCCCTGAATAGGGGCTGCTTGATGTGCCGGCGCGGCCGAACTCCACTGTGGGCCACGAGTTTTTTTGGCAGTGGAAGAACGACTCGAATTTGCCAATGGCTTACGGCATTGCCGCAAGCCTGCGGTCTCCTACGGTGCACCAGATGTGCGCGTGTCGACGGTGCCAATTCGGAGATCCATCCCACCGGCTGATCAACGGCGTACCAGGCGGAGCCTCGTCTAGACGATGTCGATGCGACGTTCCACCACCAACCGGCTGACCAGCGGTGTGTCAGACAGAGCCTCGTCACGACGGCGCCGACGGGGTGTTCCATCCGACCAACCGTCCACGGAGTCCGCAGTCACCTGTGCACGCGGCACAACGCGCACAGGGAGTAACCGCCCTCACCTGGTTTAGCCCGCCGGTCGAGACGGTTGCCCGGGGTGTGGCCGCTGAGCAGAGCCCAGCTACGTGGAGCCACAGGTGAGAGTTGAGTGCCAGCAAGTGGACGCTAGGCGTAGTCTCACCTGCAAGCAAGTGAGCGACCACTACGACCTTCACGTGAACCCACCGCTGACACCCCTACACCCCTGAAGAGTACTACTGGTATATCAACGTCTGTCTCCGTTATTCGTATTTGAAACTGCTTTCCCCATCTACGGGTACCTGACCCTGTCCTACTCCGCCTTAGGTAAGGTGTTTGTGATGCCGAGGTTGTTCTGTGGCTGGATCCCTTCTCTGGCGTTTTCCTTATTTATACCTAGCGTCGGTCAGACAGAACGACTAGTCCTTTGGACTACTGTTGTTTGTCAATTTTGATGTAGAGCACTGCTTATACGCTGGTAGGGGGAGAAGGGAGACTGGTTGTCTCCTTTGTCTTTGTCGGTAACACCATACTGCTTACACATTCTGTAAGAATATTTCAATGGACATCCTAATGTCCAGTGAGAACGTCCTGCTAGTTTGACAACGATAATTCACGTCTTATCCAGACAATAGCTCCTCGCCGGCCGAACCCCAGTCGTCTCCAGTATAAACGGTATTCTCAAAATAGCTTGACGCGGTCATTCTTCCCAAGCGGTTTTGGTGACCGAAGCCGGTCGCCATTACGCAGGTCTTTCATAAGGACGAAGCCCAAACAAGTTGCCCATTGAACCTCCCTGATGCTAATTGTATACCTGACATTTTGCATTCTGCATGCCTGTTTGTAAAGCCCTGGAATCCACTGCCTTACATGAACCGTTGAGAGCTGAATTGTTCCAATCGTTTATGACCTCGTTTAAATCTCCGGCTATCAGTTAATCTTTGTCTTGGGCCACCTGCTTAGGAACCTGACGGCTCGACAGTCATGATGTCCACTGTAGGCTCTACCACACGGTGAGAGTAGGCACGGGGACTTACGCGACATCTCCTGCACTCTCTCCTCCCCACTTGGGCACGGTGTCAAGACAGAGTCCAGAAGACCGGACATAAGGAGTGCGCAGGTGGATGGCTTGGACGAATCCGCCCCTAGGCGTGACAACACACACCCTTGCCCACAGCATATCATATCACTTGGTGCACAATAAATAAACAAAAACCTGGCCAGGGTTTGAACCTACAGCAAAACAAACGGGCCAGAAAGACGAGGACGTCTGTGCAGCCATACGCACGATCTGTATACTTCACTTGATAGCAAGCGCATCTACGGGCTGAGAACAGGATGCCAGAAAACGTGTTAACACACACCAAGTCGCGAGGGTCATGGTTTGCTGAATCATAGCATAGCGGATGCAAGCAAACCTTAATGCCCAGAATGGTGTTGGGTAATCGAAACCTTGCGTCACCCGTAGCCTGTGCACGGTCCGGAAGTGCAGATGTGATGAAATACACGGCTTTAGTTTTAATCAAACTGGCTCGCAGTTACTGGAGCAAACAGATTTGAATTCTAATGCGATGATCCCCCTCCCCCTATTGACGTAGACTTTTATTCCTCCTTCTCCTCCTTTTTAACGGAGATATTTGTCGGCGAAAATGAGCATTTTACGAAGATATTTCTAGCCACTAATGCTTGAACCTGTAATCAAGTCTCCGTAATAGAAGAGGCAACCGGCTGCGTATGTGACACCCAGTCTCACAGCACAATTTTGTCCGAACGTTGGTCCTTTGAGGCACTTCACATTTTTGTTCCAACTGGATGCCTGTGCGTAGATCGACATTTTCAAAGGATTATTGGGTAAATATGGTCATTCTTTTGTATGATCACCCATAGAATGCAGTGTTATTGACTGTCTGCCGATGGGTAACCCCTAGAATATTAATGAGTCGCAGGAGTCTTTTTGCCTGAGATGGATCATCTGAGGAGGCCAGCCATCATGACCGGTCTGGCGTCATTGCTCGAGGCCTCGCTGCCTCAAGGTCATCCACCCTTTTGTAGTGAGCCGTTCCAGTCACGCGACCGGACAGCCAGGGTATACCTGCGTCCGCACAGTTGCACTTGAACGCACCCCAGCCCCTGCAACCACAACCTAAGCCACTGGGACACCGCCCCTCGACAAATGCAACACACATTGACTGGACACTACTTAGGCTTGGCCCAAGAGCCTGCAAAATCGGCTGCCACTAGTGTCCACGGGGCTCTCAGGTATGACTGGACGCAGTCAACTCCAGCCCTGGTTTCGCTAGTGGCCACTGCCGCCTGAGAGGACAACTCCGGGTTCTGTGCAAAATAAACACTTCATTCTGTTGCCTTTCGTCTCCTTACAACATGGGATTCGACCTGGTGGTGGTTGCGCTCAGAACACTTACTCTGGTCGCCTAGACACCACAAGCTGTACGGATGCGAAGTACCTCTAGAAAAGTCTTCCGAGGGCGATTATCAGTGATCATAAGGCCAAAACAATTATATCAAGGAATGAAAATCTACAAAACCAACAGAATTTATGTATGTCTCAAGGATTATTAAGTCAATAACCCTCAACATTTCACGCCGCCGGCATTACAAGGTCGGCGGATGTTGGTCCCCAGAGCTAGGGGAAGGGGGGTAAGAGAGTATTTCAGTGATGTTCTTGGACTGCGTACACGGAATACACATCACTGTTATTAGGGATTGAAGGCAACATGGCGTCATCACATGGGGTAGGTGTTGGCCACGGCGGGGAAAGCGCATGTGTCAGGGTTTTCAGACAGCATAACACCGGATTAGCTAAACTATATCTTCAGCCTTAATTGATACGAATCATCGAGTCGATGCCAAGGAAGCATTTCAGCTTGTCTACCGGGCACCAACATGCTTCTCTAAAGGCCCACGCTTACGGATCCTAGCATTGGCCGAGGCCGTGACTGTACGGCTAGCGAATCCAGTGTTATGCTGTTCGAAAATCCTGACACAAGCGCTTTTCCTGCCGTGACCAACGCCAACCCCAAGTGATGACGCCTTGCCGCCTCAAATCCCTAATTACAGTGATGGGTACTCCGTGTACTCAATCCAAGATCATCACTCAAAGACTCTCTTACCCCCTCCCCTAGCTCTGATGGGTACTCCGTGTACTCAATCCAAGAACATCACTCAAAGACTCTCTTACCCCCTCCCCTAGCTCTGAGGACCAACATCCGCCAACCTTGTCATGCCGGCGCGTGAAGATGATGAGTGTTAATGACTTGAATGTCCTTGCGACATCTATAAACCCTGTTGATTTTGTACATTTTCATTCCTTCATGTAATTGTATTGGCCTGACAAAGAATTACCGAAAATGCGTGTTCGCCAACTTGACTTTTCAAGTGTAACACAGGAATATTTGCGGAACTTAGACAATCCAAAGATCCTTCGGTGTTAAAGGAACTCAATGAATTCCTAAAGTTTAACACCAGACTTGAGGAGACACACGTGACGAGGAAATTCGTATCAGGATGTATTGAACGGGGTGAATATCTCAAATACTACTGGAAAACCTTGCGGAGGAACCATATCACCGCAACTTCAACTGCACTAAAACGACACGCAGAAAGTCAACTTGAGACAGTTAATACCGGAATTAAAGAACTGTATCGGAACTTGTGTCAGAGGGCAGGGGCCCTCGATCCCTTTGAAAACCACGAGAGATTGGCATTTAAAAGCTATGTGGATGCAGTCAGAATTAAAAGAATGGAGGCCAGGTGGACTAAGCTCCTACGAAGCGTCCAGTCAGTAACAGCTCAGACCGTCCTTCCGAACAATCCGGAACGGTACGTGCATAGCTATTCTTCGGCACGTCTTGATAAAGCTCTCGTTGAGGTTCTAGCTCTTGGCCCTAAGTTTTGTATTGCACGGCGGATGCCGAAACAATAAGAGCTTGAAATCCAATTTGAGAGTCTCGTTAGTCAGACTGCAGATCTAAAACCTACCGAAGTTAGAGAAGTTAATTGTCTTAAGTCGACTCCGCTTAAATGCGGCCAACAGTATCTAAGGGGGGCCCCGAGAAACAAGGGTCCCTTGACCAGGGCCCAAATCGATAGCCTTAGGGAACTTCGTAAAAACAAAAACATTGTGCTTACTAGACCAGACGAAGGTTCCGGAGTAGTACTGATGGATAGGACAGATTATGTGGCGAAACTAGAGGAAATACTGTCGGATCGTTCCAAGTTCTCAAAATCTGAAAAAGATAAGGATCGCATGGAGACTGTCGAGGGTCAGTTGACGAGTATTCTCAAAGACCTCTGCGAAGAAGGTCATTTGTCCAGCAAAGAGTATGAACGACTAAGTCCGGTGGGCTCGACAATACCAAGAATGTACGGCCTTCCTAAAATTTACAAGCTAGGACTACCTCTACATCCAAACTTGGATATGAGGAATTCGCCCTATCATACCGTTGCAAAATGGCTAGTGGAAAGAGTAAAGTCACTGCAAAGTTATCAATACCCTCGAAATTTTAAAGACTCCTTTGATTTCGTCGAAGCCATTAAAAATATTAACGTTAGCGGACGGAGGATGTTATCACTGGATGTATTATCGCTGTTTACCAACGTACGCGTGGCAGAATCCATAAACTATCTTTGTGATGTTATTTGTGATACGAACTACCCCATAGAGATGCCTGTGAAAATGCTAAAAGAACTACTGACGCTTTGCTCACAAAATGTCCAATTTCTGTGCAAAGGTCAACTATACAGGCAGGTAGGTGGTGTGGCAATGGGATCACCGCTTGGACCGTTCCTTGCAAATGTTTTTATGGACAAAGTCGAGAAAACAAGATTGCAAGAGACCATTAATGGCCTCGTCTTCTACGGTCGGTACGTGGACGATAGCTTCTGCCTGGCGGATGGTACCACCGATACCGAGGAGCTTGTACAAAAGTTCAACAGTGCACACCCCTCGC